AAGAAGGGGTTCCCGGGGGGGGGCGAGGTCCTGAGAAGGGGTGAGCCATGGGGGCCGGGAGGGCCCCCCGCGGGCAGTGGTGAAAGCGCCCTCCCGGCGCTGGGGGATGGAGGGGAACCCCAAGCTCCCGTAGGCGGGGGGAGCGCGAAAGATGCCCGGTCTGCAGAGTGGGTTGCGCCCGGCGCGGCCGGACACCCCGAAACGGGGGGGCCCCTGCGCCCCAGGTTTGGCAGAGCGTGGAGCGGGAGGCCCCGCGGGGCGGTTAACGAGCGGCCGTGGCGCTCGGGGGGCGGGGGCTGACGCTGGTCAAGGGCTTGGACACGCAGCCAGGACCTGGGTCCCAGGGCAGCCGCTTGCTGGCTGTGTGACCTGAGCTTGTCACCTAACCACCCTGTGCTGCGTCCCGTCAGCAGGACGGGGGCTGTCACGTTGCTGTTGTAGGTCTGAGTCCACTCGTGTCAAGGGCTTAAGACAGTCCTTGGAACGGACTAAGGCCTGGCGAGTTACTTTCATGCGTTAGTTTTGAAAAAAAGGTCTTTACTCTCCTGCCTTTAATTCTTCATCACCAGCCAGTTTCAGGCCCTTGAAACTGAGTCTCGCTGCCCAAGGGCAGGGAGGCCTGTCCGTCTGTAGCGCTGACCCTTCCATCCCAGTGTGGGTTAGCAGCGCGGGGGACCCCGGCCTGCTCCCTGAGAGCCCCCAAGACAGAGGAAGGGCTCTCCCTGGGAGGCGCAGGGCTTCACTCCAGGCAGTAACTGGAGTTTCTTGTGTTTGGTCTTAAGAGTTTGTGCAGATGTTGGTTTTTCTGTAGCTCACTCGGCAGCGTGTAGTGTTAACTGTCCCCCGAAGTGGCTGAACTCAGATGCTCCAGGAAGCGTGCCTGCTGCAGGGTGCTCCTGGGCAGACTCCTCGCTGGCTGGAGAACACAGGGCCCTGCCCCACGCAGAGTGGGGGATGAGGCACCTGCCTGGGGCTGTCCGTCTAGCACCTGGCCCAGTGTCCGGTACACAGCAGGTGCCTGTGGGCGACCACAGCCTCCAGGTGCCTGGTCAGAATCCGAGTTCTGCATTCAAGCCTCTCCTGGAGGCCGCAGCCTCTTGACAGCCTCCCTGACTCTGTCTGCATCCAGCCCCAGGTGGTCTGCAGGGATGGGATGGGACAGCCATGTGCTGTGGTGACCCGAGTGCCAGTTGCGGGGGTTTCTTCCGGTGCATCAGTGTGTGGATTGAGTCCGAGGTGTCTGGTACCAAATGGCTCTGACAGGTGTTTGTTGCCTTGGCCTTACCCCGTGGTGTCCCTGCAGAGTGAAGCCTCTGACCTGTGGGCTGACAGTGACCCATCGCGAAGGGGTCAATGGACGGTCTGAGTTGACAGCAAGCGCGTCCCTGGGAAGTTGTTCGTCTTTGTGGTCAACGCCCTGAAGAAATGGATTTGGACCAGTTGGACCTGAATCCCAGAATTACTGCTGCAATTAAGAAAGGTATACGTCCTGACGTTTATGTGAAATGTGTGCACGTGCAGACGCCTGTCTGTACGCCTCCTGTAAAACAGGCACCAAGGGGGGTGCCCCGTCCCTCTTCCCAGGACGCCCCTCTGGATCCCTACCCCAGTGCTGGGCCGTGTGGGGACGGCTCTTCGAGTGTTTGCGTGTGTTTAATTGAAAACACTGTTTAAAAGTTAATTTTTATTTTCACCAATGTATGCATATCGTCTAAACCGTGAAACACAGCTACTTGCCATGAGCCGTTAACAGTTTTGTCTTTAACTCTGGGTTCTGAACACGGAGCTCACTGCGCCGTCTTGTTCAGACCTCCTGGCGCCCCACATGCCCCACAGTTGGAACACACTGGGTCCTGCCAGGGATGTGAGCGGGGACATAATGGCCATCGCGGAACCTGGGGGTGGGGGAGACTGTTTCCTTTCATGTACCATCTTTAGTTTTTTCCCACCAAAGTTAGTAGTTGCCTCCTTTTTTAACGGACTGCATTTTCTGTGTACTTTCCCCGTTTCCCACATCTTCCTGCAGGTCTGCCAGGCACCTGTCTGAATGCTCAAAGGGCGGGACAGCTCACCCACCTGTGTTTCCTGGGCGTGCATGCCCAGCCCCTGCCCGCTGGTGGGAAATGGGTGCCGGCCATGGCTCTCGGTACCTGGGAGAGGCCCCCAACCCCCTCCTCCCCATTTCCCACCCCACCTGGCTTTGCTGTGGTCTCCCCCAGGTGCCTCCCTCCTTGTCCTGTGTCATCACACTCTGCCCAGGGGTTCCCACAGCTCGGGAGCAGATGGACCTGGCCCTGCCCACGAGGCCCCCAGAATTGGAGACAGCATTCCCCTAGTTACTGCTGCATTGCCTCGTGTCTGGTCCTGAAACTTATTTGTATAATTTCAGCCAAACTGAAATCCATAAAGGAGGTTTTGCACTTTTCTGGACCAGACTTGCAGAGACTGACCGGCCTCTCTGGCCCTGACGTGCAGCACTTGCTGAGAACAGTCTCCTCACACCTGCGGGGAAGCGGCGTCTTCACAGGTGGGCAGGACGGGTGTGCCCTGCCGAGGCCCTGGGGCTCCGCTGGGGGCACAGACTCCGCTGAGGGGCGACCGCAGGGCATGGTGGCGGCGGCGGGATCGGGATGCACTGGGGGCACAGGGCCACGGGGGCCCTCACTCCAGGGGTCGGTTCTTGGGCCAGAGGAGAAGGGTGGAGACTGAGGGGCACAGGAAGCAGGGATGAGTGGCCACCAGGCAGAGCCCTGTGGCTGGGAGGAGCCTCCTGGCCAGAGGGTCCTGCCCCCGGCAGCTGCCCACCCTCCTGCTGCCCCGTCCTCCCCAGCACTCGACCTGCACCTACAGAAGGAGCGCTTCCCCGAGCAGCACCGGCGCCTGAGCCTGGGCTGCCCCGTGCTGGACGGGCTCCTTGGCGGCGGCCTGCCCCTGGCCGGCATCACCGAGCTGGCCGGCCGCAGCTCGGCAGGGAAGACCCAGCTGGCGCTGCAGCTCTGCCTGGCCGTGCAGTTCCCTCGGCGGCACGGAGGCCTGGAGGCGGGTGAGCGGGCGCCCCCTCTGCAGGGGGCAGGGGTAAGGGATTGTCCAGTGGGCTCTTGGGCCTGGCTCTGTTCTTGGCCACTGCCCGAGGTTGGGACCCAGGGCCGGCTCCTGCAGCTGGCATCTCGCTCACATGGCTGTGGGATGCCCCCTGGGAAGCGTGACCAGCCCCACCCCACGTGGACCCCGGAGGTCCCCGTGAGCACGAAGTCCCCTCAGCTGTGGGCTGGCCTGAAGGTGCCCGTCCCTTACCTGCACAGGTGGCACTTGCCACCAGCCCGCAGGACGCTCGCTGGGAAGGGGCTCCGGGGCCCTCTGGCCTGGCCTGTGTCTGTGAGGTGACTTTTCCAGGCTGCCTGTTGGCGTCCTCAAGGTTGAAATTCAAGTTGTTTCTTGCGTGTGAGGTCCCTAGAGTAGCTCCTCGGTTTTATGAAAGTCCGCGGTGCTCACGCGTGGTTCCCATGGAGCTCTGAGGTCACCTACGGACCCAGAGCGCAGCACCTGTGTGCCCGTCGCGGACCCCACTCCCCAGACGGGGTGCCTGCCCCGGCCAAGCAACGGGGTGGGGACAGCCAGGGATAGACCTTCCGAGGCCAGGCTGTCTCCTCACAGTTGTCAGACCTGCTGCTCTGGGGTCTGCCAACAGACAACCCTAAGAACTCCTCCTCCTCGCTGGGACCCCTGTGGGGCCTCTGGGTGGGGGCGCCCGGCTCCTGCTTCCTCCAGGCTGAGCTGAGAGCAGTGTGGTAGGGACGTGGGGTTGGCTGGGGGCCCGGGCAGGGCACAGCCCCATCCCCAGCCTCTTTTTTCTTACATAATTGGGATGTGATTCACATACCATAAAACTCACTCTTATAACGTACAATTCGGGTTATCTTAGCACATTCCAAGGCTGTGCCCTCACGACTGTCTAGTTCCAGAACATTTCTTCACCCAGAAAGAGCCCTGTTCCCAGAAGCATCCCTCCCCGTTGCTCCCGGCCCCCAGCCACCTGCTGTCTGCGCTCCTGCCTCTCCTGGCACGTCTGTGAGTGGAATCAGGCCCACGTGGCCTTTTAAGTCTCTTCACTCAGCGTCATGTGCGAGAGGCAAGGTCCCCCATGTGAGCCGAGTGCGTCTGTTGTGTGTGGGCACCATTTCTTCATTTGTCCACTGGTGGACTTGGGTTGTCCACCGCTTTGGTGACCAGGGCTGCCATGGGTGTGGTGACGTGGGTGTGGCCCCCCAGTGGCCACCTGGGAGGGGAGCTGCGGGGTCACAGGAAGCTCCATGTAACTTCTGGGCCCACCAAGGGCTCCAGGTTCCCACATCCATGCCACCCCCTGCCAGTGGCTCTGATGACCACGTCCCTGTGGGCGTGGCCGCTGTCCCCGTGGGCGTGAGGTGGCCTTGCTGCAGTTTTCACCTGCTTTCCCCGAACGACCGAGGATGTTCAGCATCTTTCTGTGAACTTGGTCATTTGTGTGTCTTTGGAGACATGTCTGTTCAGATCCTTTCTCCATTTTAAAAGCTGGGTTTTCTGTCTTTCTGTGGTTGAGCCGAAAGGGGTCTGTGTGGAACTTGGAGACCGAATCCTCGGATGCGTGCCCTGCGGTATTTTCTCCCAGCGCCGTCTCTTCATTTCCTGGGTGGTGTCTTGAAGCCCAGTTTATCTATTTTCTTCTTGTGTTTTTTATGTCTTATCTGAGAATCTGTTGCCTGACCCAAGGTCACCAAGACTTTACCTGTTTCCTGCTGAGAGTTTCAGCTTTGGCTCTCACGGTCTGTCCACCCCGCTTAGTTTTGTGTGTGGTGTGAGGTAGGGTCCAGACTCAGTCTTTTGCAGGCGGGACATCTAGTTTCCATAACGATAGGGCTTCTTCCAATGGCCCCTGGTTCCTAGTTGCTGGACTCAGGGTCCACTCTGGTATAGGGGCCAGGCCCCGGTTAGCGTGTTGCGTGTCCCCGGGTGTTCGGGCTCCTGGTGACATGCTGCTAGTTATCCAGTCACAGTGAAGACACAGTGGTCACCACACCGTCTGAATCATGGGGGGGCCTTGAAAGGGGCATCCAGGCCCCGCAGGGGGCTCAGCAGGTTGCAGTGTCTTCCCTATACCACAAAGGTGGCGGGTTCGTTCCCTGGTCAGGACACATACAAGAGGCAACCGATCAATGTTTCTCTCTCACATCGATGTCTCTCTCTCTCTTCCCCCCCCTCCCTCCCTTCCTCTTTCTCTGAAAATCAGTAGAGACATATCCTCAGGCAAGGATTAACAAAAAAACGAAAGTGCCATCTAGGAAACAGGCACGGGGGCGCCTCAGGGGCATCTCCCTGCGTCTGGGGGGCATTTCCAAAGGCCTGTGGGCCCTAATTCCACTCACGTCCACTCGAGTCAGCCCAAGGGGCAGACCCACAGAGTGACACCCCGTCAGCTTGGGGGCTGTGGTGGGAGGTGGGGGGCAGCGCTGGGAGGCATGCTCACGGTGCCGCGGCCTCCCAGGGGCCGTGTACGTCTGCACGGAAGATGCATTTCCCAACAGGCGTCTGCAGCAGCTCATCGCCCAGCAGCAGTGCCTGCGGGCAGACGCCCCGGCGGGCGTGGTTGAGAAGATAAAATTTGGGAACCACATCTTCATTGAGCACGCGGCCAACGTGGTGAGTGTCCTGCTGGTCCCTCCAGCCCCGGTCTGAGGGGAAGGCAGCCGGGTGGGCCAGTGTGTGGGCCCCATGACGCCCGCCAGTCACCAGTGCAGTGACGTCCGATGGACGTGTCCCCATTCAGATAAGCATGATTAGTTACCTGGAATTTGGGTTGAACTGGGAGTCCCATGTGTTTCCTGCCACCCCGCCCAGGAGGGCACCTGGCCTGCCTCCGCCCCTCTGGCCACCCTGAGAACACTGCCCAGGGCGGCTATTGTTTCCGCTGATGGTGAGAAAGCCCCTTGTTGGGGCAAGAGGGCACCAGCCTGGACCAGCCCCTCGGATCACCCACCTCCTGGCTGGCTGCTGGCCTGGCCCACGGGCAGGGACAGGGTGCCGTGACCAAGTCATGGTTTGGTGGAGAAAGAAGCAATGAGTGGGAGGGACTTGGAAGGAGAGACAGGAGGGTGTGGCCTCTCTGAGGGCCTGGCTTCCCCTGCTTAAAGAATTGTTATAAAAAGAACTTCACCTAAAGAATAAGGCATATAAACTTTTAATTTTTTAAAAATGTACAATAAAATACATTATCACACAGTGCAGGGAAGGAATGGGGCATGGGCCGAGCGCCGGGTCTCCTGGAACCAGGCCCGGAGGGAGGTTGTGTCCACCCGGCCATGCCTTCAGGGCCAAGTGTGGCCGTGGCTTCGCATCCCACTGAGCAGTGTGGCTGTTAGTGTGACTGTGCGCCCGGGCCCGGGGCCCGGACACAGGAGTTAGTGCTGCAGGCTCCCAGCTGCAGGGCCCTCCAGCCTCGGCGACTGTCTCCCCGGCTGTCACAGGGCCGGCTCTGGCCTCACGAGCAGCGTGGTCCTGGGTCCTCCGGGGGCGCAGCTCACTGCGAGGGAAGGCGATGGTTCAGGGCCAGTCCGCCAGGATCCGGTGGCATTTCTGGCTTGTTCTGAACCAGCTGCAAGGGGAGCAGTCGCTGCTCTCTCGCTGGGTGTTTGCCCAGAGGCTGGGGAATGGGTCCCTGACCTAGGCCCCTCCCCGCGTCCGGCCCAGCCCTGTGGAGGCGGGTGCGGGACTCACATTTGCGCTGGCATCTTCCAGCCCGCTGCTGCTGCTGTCATTGTCCAGAGGTTCTCCCGGGGACACCCTGGAGACGAAGCACAGGGGAGTCTCAGTTCAGGATGAGGAGCCACTTGTGACAGCTCTTAGTTCTGAGGGGACAGCCGGTGTTTGGCTGCCCAGCACTGGGACCCGAGTCCCTGCCAGCAGGCGAAGCGCCCATGGGGCAGGCCTGAGCACGCTCTGCCCGTCCCAGAGCCCTGCTGATTCAGCCCCGGGCCAAGCGGGGCTGCTGGGAGCTCAGGGCCTTGCAGGGTGGGCAGGGCTGGCTCAGGGCACCTGCAGCCCCACCCTGGCCGTGCTGATGTCCCGGTGTGCAACCTGGGCAGGACCCGGGGTCTCCACGTTCCGGGCAAGGCTGGGTGCGGGACAGACCCTGACCCAGCCCTGCTGCCTCCTCGCCTCCGCCAGGCTCAGGGCCTCCTGGCCTGAACACTGAGGTCACAGTCCCAGTAAGCACAGCAGTGGCAGGCTGGCCTTGCAATGTGGACAGGTCCAGGTGGTCAGAGCCAGGCACGAGGCCACCAGAGGGTCACAGTGATGGCCCGGAGTGGGACAGGGATCCCACCCACCAAGGACTTGGGAAGTAGGATAGACAGGACGCGAGGGTGGTGACGGCCCCTCCCCTCGGCTTCCAGGACACGCTGCTGGAGTGTGTGAGGAGGAAAGTGCCCCAGCTGCTGTCACGGGGGATGGCGCGCCTGGTGGTCATCGACTCCGTGGCTGCTCCGTTCCGCTGCGAGTTTGATGGGGCGGCCTCAGTGCGCAGGGCCCAAGCGCTGCAAGCCCTGGGGGCTGCGCTGTGCAGGCTGAGCTGGGCCTTTCGGAGCCCAGTGCTCTGCATCAACCAGGTGGGCCACCCCCTGCCCTCCCTGTCCCCTCACGAAAGGAGAGGCTCTGCCCCCTGACCCTCATCTGACTTTCCAGGTGACGGAAGCCATGGAGGAGCAGGACACGGCACCTGAGGCGCCCAGGTGAGCAGGCCCTGGGCAGGGGGCTTGGCAGGGCTGGCTCTGTGAGTAACACTGGCCCATCTCCTGCCTCAGGGCCCCAGGGGAGCACCTTGCTCCCGCCCTCGGCATCACCTGGTCCAACCAGGTGCTCGTGAGGCTGATGGCTGACCGGCAACGCCCAGAGGAGGCCCCGCTGCTGGGCTGCCCCACCCGCACCCTGAGGGTGGTCTTCGCCCCCCACCTACCCCCCTCTTCCTGTTCCTACACAATCAACACCGAGGGTGTGCGAGGGACGCCTGGGACCCAGTCCTGCTGACACCAAGGAGGCCGTCTCCAGCACAGCCATCCCACACACACGGGCACAGGGACCAGTTTGGCACAGCATCCCTGGGTCAGGGTCTCCAGGGTGTTGGCTTGGACCCAGGCCTGGGCCAGGGCCTGCTCCTCCCTCCCTGGGGGACCAGGAGCACTTGCCTCCCCTGCTGTGCTGGCCCTGCTGGGAGCTGGCAATGGTCCCGAAGGCCCCACACAAGGCGCGGCTCTCCCCATCCTGTCCACATCAGCCCCTGCCCGGGACTGGGACCAACTGCCCTGATGTGGGGACTTGTCCTGCAGGCTGTGCCTGTTCCAAAGGGGGAGGGTTTTTACTTTTGCATTGTCTCTGCCACCGGCCACTGCTGGGCAGGTGGGCAGACAGCTGGGCTGGCTTCTGAAAAATGGGCCCATCTGCAGGAGAACCAGTTCTGGGCAAACGAGAACTTCATTTTTTAAAAGGCAGCAGCATCCCGCACATCCTCGATGCTGTTGGGGACACAGCAGGACACCTGGCAGGGCCACCTGCTCACCTGGCCCAGGCTTTACTTCCAGGTGAAAGCTGGACCTCCCATCTGCACAGGGTCCTGCTGTGTATGAGTGCAAACCAGATAAAATCTGACCATCTGGTCGTAGGGACACAATGCCCAGTGGTCACCACAGGATGTGACTGCCCAGCGCAGAGCCAAGTCTGTCTTCATCCCAGCGCTTCACGTGCTGCTTGGCACAGGGGGCAGGGGACTCAGACAAATAAATGTGAGTGGACACAGTTGTGGCTGTTGGACCTGTCACTGACTTGCTCTGTGCCAGGCATGGTCCTAAGAGGTCCTCACTGACCGTGCCCCCCACAGCCCTGGAGACGGGGCCTGTACCCGCCTTGCTCCCAGAGAAACAGGCACCAGACACTCGAGGGACTTGCCATGCTCCAACTCAGGCACAGCTGACTCTGGGCCATGCCAGCGCTGGGGCTGTTAACCCCTGTAATTGGACAGCCGCCTCCTGTTTGGACATTTTTCTGTGGCGGGATGGTCCATTTTTAATGTCATCACATTCTCAGGAGTCTGACTGGCGTAAAACAGGAAAAGCTCTGAGGGCTGGAGCCTACATACAAAGACCTTTCTGCAGAAATGCAGGAACTGGACAACAGGAAGTAAGACACTTTATTTTTGTAATTAAATACAAACAATCCCAAATGAGTTTCTAGTCAGGTCACAATGAGAAACAACTAAATCACCAACACAGAACAAACGTTACCAGATGACCCGGCGCTGAACCCCTGGGTGACCCGCACCCGCCAGCCAGGCTGCACCCAGGCCCAGTGGTGCCCAGCCAGCACACACCGACCAGGAGCTGACAGTCCCTAAGGAGCACCGGCCCAGCCATTCCGGGCCTCTCCCCACCCCCGCTGAGGGTCAGCTCCACCCTAGAAACCACTCTCCCTGGGTGGTGGGGGCTCCTGGGGCAGGGCGTGTCTGCATGTGTCACCAGCTGCACAGACGGTGCTGTCTGCCCAGCCAGGCTCACCAGGCCCACATGACCCCAATGAGACAGGCGGGTGTGAGTGCTGCCACGTGCTGGGCCACCAAGAACACACTGCAGAACCACGGCAGTGACCTGTTCTACTCAACTGCACATCCTTAGTGATACTTTCTTTGCTATAAGCACTGAGTTTAATTACACAGCCCCAGTAGCTTTTTAATTCTCAAAAAGAACTATCTGAATCCCTCCAACATTGCTAAGACCACATGCTGGGGCTGAGGGGAGGGGCCAGGAGGGTCAGAAGACCCTGCTGCCCACGACCTCTGCCCTGCACCCTGGGACTTTCCTGGGGAGCGTCCTGCAGACACTGCACAGCCCTCCATTTCCTGTCTCCCTCAGGGACTCTGACAGCAACTGTAGAAGCAGGGCTGGCTCCCGCAGGGTCCCGTGAGGACAGCAGGCCTGTAGGTTAGGACCCAGCCCTTCTCTGTTTCAGGACAAGTTAAAAAATCAGGAACAGCTGACACGTGTGGGTCCCTGAACACTGAGGCTGTCACAATTGGCTTCGGTGCCTGTGCTCTCACCCTGAACACCCCACACAACCTGCACAGGGAACCACAACCCCGAGGGGACCGGGGCCACCGGCTGGGGACTGGGTCAGGCCCACTGAAGGGTCCTGCACAGACGGGGTGACCAGCAGCTGGGAGTTCAGTTCGGAGCCCTGCTTGCCAAGGGACTGTCACTGAGGGAAACAGTGGGTTCCAAGGTGCTGGGTCAGCTCTGTGGCTGTGGAGAAGCCAACTCCAAATGGAGGGGAGGGAAGGGGCAGCCCCTGGTCCCCTCCTGACAAGGATGAGACAGCACCCGGGCGGTGCCACGTCGCCCTGCTGCGCCTCATGGGTCACCTTCAAAGAGTGGTGGGGTCCATGAGGAACACAGCTCTGCTCTCTTTTTCAGTGGTTTCTCACAACCAGTGGAGGTTGGGGGTTTTTTTAATTTGGAAAGGAAGTCCTAACCATCAGAACTTGTAAAACCTAAATGGAGTCAGGAGCCAAAAAGCAGCGCGGCTAAGGGAGACGGGCTGCAGGGGACCGTGTCAGCTGCAGGCAGCACAGGGCACCTGTGAACCGGAAGGCCGGTCCACGAGGGAACAGTGCACTCGCAAGGGACACGATTACATTACAGGAACCTTGAAGTTTGAAGCCCAACCTTGCTGTGATGGATCCCAGGTGCTGCTGCCTCCAGGCCGCCCACGTGGAGCTTGGCTGACGGACACGGGGATCCAGGGCTCCTCAAAGTGAGCCCCCCGCCCTGAGCCTCATGCTACTCACAGGAGAAAGCTGGGAGTAAGCAAAGCTGGGCCTCTGCCAGGACACCAGTTGCATTAGGATAAACGAAATGAACTTCAAGCTGACGGCACCCCACACGGATGCTCAGTGTCTCAGACCCATCACCCCCCAGTCTAAAGAATGATGCTGCTAGCTCCCGGTGGACGTGCCCCTTCGCATGCGCCCCAGATGCTGTCACCTGGAACCCGTTGCTTAGCATTTCCTTCACCCAGTGGTTGCGCTTACAGAGCCCTGTGAGGACAGTGCCTTAGCCTGACCTGAAAATGTTCCTGTCCAAACCCACCCTGGGTTATTAACCCAACAACGCGCATGCTTAGCTTGCAGGCCAGGGTTCCCAAGGGTGGATGCAGGAGCCTGGCGAGTGTCGGGCAGGGTGGTGCACAGCACCCTGCATGGGAGCTGGGACCCGGCACCTGAGGGATTCCTTTCTGGTCACCACTCTACATCCAGGCATTGCTGCCACAGATCATTAGAGGCAGGTTAAGGTTCCAGATTCTTAGTTTATAGCCTATTAAATATTGCATTAACGATTCTGAATTTAAACTAGATTTTGGTGTCATGTAGAAAGTGCGTGTGTCCGTGGGAAATGGCCGAGTCCAAGGTGAAGCCGCTGCCGGGCCGCTCTGTGCCCTGGGCCGTCGCGCCTGGCCGGGTCTCATGGTTGAGCTTCGGCAGCTCTCGGTCATGAGGACTGCAGACCACGTAACAGAATTCAGGGCAAACCTCTGTAGGTGGTGGAGGGCACCACCCAGAAAAGGAAGTGAGCCGGGCCTCCCTCCCAGGCAGCATGGGCAGGGGCCTGGCGGGGCGGGGGCTCAGCTTATCTAGCTTGGCCTTGGCCCGCAGTGGGCCAGGTCAGTGTGGCTGGCACTCAGAGCTCTCGAGTCTGCTAGACAATTATTTCGTTCCTGCATGAAAAAAAAAATGGAAAAATTATACTCAGCCAGCACTTGGAAGGACCCAAGCCTCAGGTGGCCTTAGTGCTAACGGTGACAGCTGAGCGGCTCTAAGTCACACACAAGGCCCGAGGCTCATGTGAACAGGTGCATACACCAGATGTGGGTGGGGGAAAGGCTGTGTCCCCTGCAGACCCTAACCCAACACCATCTTTCCTCTCATTAGCAGGGGTGCTTAAAGCAAAGCCCACACCCTACTGACACCTGGTAGCTTCCAGCCAGAGGCCTGGAGAACGCAACCCTGGGAGCAGTCCCCTCCCAAGGGTGCTGCCAGGAGCCTATCTGGCAGGCTCCTCACTGCAGGGAGCAACAGCTTATCAGCTGGACTGGGGCAACTGGGAAAACCACCGACTCCACAGCAGCCAGGAGTCGGTCACCAGCAGACGCAGTAACGGCTAAGTCACAAGAGGGTCTCTGGGGGATAGCCCCAGCTGCCTGGTCTGCTCGGCACACCTGAGAAACAGGGCCGGCTCTGGGGTCCAGGGCCTGGCCCCACTCCGACAGTCACACCAGACATTTATAAAAACAGAAAACAAAAAGTCCATTTCTGACAGAGGACAGGGTGCCAGGGGCTTCAATGTGAAAGTGACACGTTTCTGCGAGGCCTGGACACTCACATGTGCTCCCGAGGGCATGGCACAGTGACAGCGTGTCCGTTACGTTAGGCCCTAAATCACTTCAAAACACTGACAACAGCTTAACTAGAGAATAATTAGTTATAAACGTATTAAAGACTAAAATTATATAAATTAAATACATTTAAGATAACTGGCCAAGTTTTGATATTTTATCAGACTATTTAATTTTTAATCAGGTCCATCAGACTATTTTTCAAGGTCATTGATTAATATACTGAGAATGCTGACGACTGAACATTCCCACAGCTCAGTCTAGTCAATGCAGACTCAGGAAATGTCACCGTGATGCCTATCTGTCTAAGAGCCAGAACGCAACAGTGTTCGCAAGGCCCTGTGGAAACGGCAGAGGCGCCCGGGGAAGGTCTGCAGCCAGCCCGCCAGCCTGGTCTGGGGAATCAAGGGCGTGAGGGGCAGGGCTCCTTACTTGGACATGGTCTTCGGCTGCCTTGCCACCCACGTTTAGGACATTCAGAGAGCTGGCGCGCTTCATGCTGCAACCGGGACAGTGGACATGCAAGGACAAACGTCAGCACACGGGTCAGCCAAGAGCAAGGACACAGCAAAGCCACCCTCAAAGGCCTGTGACCACTGGGGTCCCTTCACCTCACTGGGACAGGGATGCCCACCCAATTCTTAACACAAACATCCCAGGTCTAACTGTATTCAGTGCTCGGTAAGAAAAAGCAGAGTTTCTCTGTGTCTTTTAAGCAAAAACGGTTGTCTTACAATAACAAACTCCAGCGTCGCTGTACTTACACTACAACACATGTCAACTCCAGCGTCACTGCAGTGACCCTTTGTGAAACCTGCTCACACTGAAGCTGAGGCTCTGCAGGGTAGCTGGCCGACTGCAGCGTGTGGGTCCCCAGGGCCTCCACAGACAGGTTTCAGGGAGGGAACCTCAATGACTCATGTAAGACTCATCACCCCAAGTGACCAAGTTCAAGAGACGCACTCAAAACTCATTGGTGAGATCAAATGCATAAAATATTCTGTACTTTATGTTTTTCTATATTAAAAGTAGGGAAAACCATTTTTAAATTAGTAAAATAAACTCTAAAGCTATTAATTCTCTGCTTATAAATCAAAATTTATTGTAACAAATTTCATGACTTTATATTTAAAGAAATACAGTGACTTACACATGATTTTTCTCCACTGGTACCTTTAAAATACTTGATGAAACATCTTACAAAGTACCTATGACCTAAACTTAAGTTACGGACAATCTATACTTACACTAACTGCTTACAGCCATCACAGACACTGTCAAACAGAAAGTCACCTTAGCTTTTAAAACTAAAATAACCAAAATTAGGGGTTATATTTAAGTGTTTACACAGGGCCTGTCATTCTGAACCTGAACTTGCCAGAACACACAGAGTGAACACTGAGGGCGCAGCTGCGAGGCCGAAGCACATGCATGAAGGGTTAGCCAACCAGACAGACACAGGACATTCAGGAACGGGCTGACGGCCCGCGTGGCCACTGCACCATGCGCACAGCCTGGCCCAGTGCAGACACTAAGTTCTCACTGAGTAAACTGCACCAGAAGCAAAGACGTTAATTTAATTATCCCCAAGTAAAACCCACTCCCAAAATGCCCCACAGGACAAAAAACACCCTGATGAGCCCCACACAGTGCTGCCGGCGTCCCGAGTACACTCTGTCCTACTCAGAACAACAAGAGCAAAGGATAAAAATCACCCTGAATCGCAAGCCTACGGAGGCATCTTAACTTACTGTTACTTAACCGGCCAATCACCTTTTTCTAAGAAAGCCACACCACCGTTATCCTCAAACCCTGCTCCTTACAAGACACAGAAAGCAATGCGACTCCTGCCATTCTTCCTGACTCCCCGGGTTGCACCCACGCGATCCATCTAAGCCCGTGGTGCTCACTGGGGTCATGCCCAGAGCCACACACAGGGCTCCTGTAGCACAGGTCTGCGGGTCTCCAAACTGGTCCCCAACCAGCAGGGCTCCTGCAGCACAGGTCTGCGGGTCTCCAAACTAGTCCCCAGTCAGCAGGGCTCCTGCAGCACAGGTCTGCGGGTCTCCAAACTGGTCCCCAACCAGCAGCACGTGACCACCTGGGACCTTGCTGGGGTAGGGGGGGTGCTGTATCGGAAACTCACGGCTGGGCCCAGTAGCCTGTATGTTACAAACGTCCAGGAGACACTGACACATGCTCAAGTTTGAAAACCACTGGGCCAGTTAATACTGTCAATCTTACCTGGAAAAATTATTCTATTGTATGTATAATTTTATGAGATAAAGTTTTTCAAAACTGATTTGAGAGAGAGAAAGGAAGGGAGAGAGAGATCAATTTGTTGCTCCACTAACTGATGCATTCACTGGTTGCTTCTTGTATGTGCCCTGACCTGGGATCGAATCTGAAACCTCGACCCATCTGGACAATGCTACCCGGGCAGGGCTGGGATGAAGTTTCTAAAGTCATTTTTTCAAAAAGTTCACTAAGGTAGCGTTTCAAATAAAACTGCATATTAAAATGTTAGTACAGGCAAGTGTGGGGGTTGACCTTACTTTACACCAGGTCAGGCTGAGTGTTTGCCAGGCTGGGGGTGCTCACCCCTGCTACATCTTGGGAAAGACAGAAGACAATGTGGCAGAAAGAGCAAGAAACATACAGACTCTGTCACGGGGGAAGGAAGGCCCATGTCATAGGCCATCGTGTGGGAATTAGACTTTGCATTTTAAAAGCTTCAAAACACGCATCACCTCAAGGGAGCAGCGCGCTGCCCTTGGGACACAGGAGGGAGCACCAGGCGCACAAGTGACGTCGGCTTATCACACCGCTCACCATGCAGCACAGGGATGGACACTAATCTGTTCAGATGCTCATCCCGCTATAAAAAAAGTGTTTTCCTCTTTCAAAATTCAGAGACACAGTGAGAACCTCTTTTTAGTTCTGGAAACCTGCAGACATTTTAAAACAAGAGCACTTTATTCCAAAGGCAGTCAGAACCTGCTCCCCCCTCCCCAAGCCTGCAGTCAGGTGACCGTCACAGGCACTTGGGCAGGAGGGCCACATGCCAGAGTGCGTCCATTGAGCCCGTCTGTCCTTTCAGACCCTGGCGAGCTCCCAGCACAGGCTCCTCCTGGTGGTTTTCTCAAAAGATGTTGGCAAAGTTCACAGGACTCCACAGAACAGGGCCTGTGACCGAATCTGAGGCAGGGTAACAGCCACTCAACACAAACCAAACTGCCCCTCTTGCCTCAAAAGCCATCAGGACACATGTCCATCCACAAGCACAGAGAGGCCTGGTGCTGCACAGAGGGCAGGCCTGGGACACCAAGTCAAGGGTCTTAGAGTTGGACTCAGCTAACGAGAGGAATGAGCCTGCACATACCTCACAATAGCAAAGGAAACATCTGAGAAGGCACCTAACTTTCATATCTCCAATACATTGCCCAAGAAACCTGGTCTCGGTCCTGAGACGTGAGAATTCTGAGCCACAGAACTTAAAGTAGGATCACTTTTAAAATAGCTTTACTGCCCAGCCTCGTGTGGCTCAGTGGCTGAGCATCGACCCAGGATCCAGGCGTTCGGGGTTCAACTCCCAGTCAGGGCACAGGCCCGGGTTTCGGGCTCGATCCCCAGTAGGGGGCGTGCAGGAGGCAGCCGATCAATGACTCTCTCATCACTGATGTTTCTATCTCTCTCTCCCTCTCCCTTCCTCTCTCTGAAATCAATAAAGGTTATTTTTAAATAAATGAATTAAAATAAAATAAAATAGCTTTACTGCCTGGCCAGAGTGGCTCAGTTGGTTGGAGGGTTGTCCCATGCACCGAAAGGTTGCCGGTTTAATCCCTGGGAGGGGGTGTACAAAATGCAACCGATGGATGTTTTTTTCTCTCATATTGATGGTCCTCCCTCCCTCTCTCTCTCTCTAAGCATGTCCTCGGGTAAGGATTAAAAAATAAACTAGAGTTTTACTAAGAATCAACCTGTAAAAAGTACATACCATTTTGAAAATTAGAGTTTCACAGGAGAGCTGACAAGACTGATTCTATGAGAAATGCATCCAAAAACAGAAGGCTGTATGTATCAGCAATAACCAATACACCTGCCAGAAGTACAAAGAACCCAACCTCCAACACACCTAATAAAAAACAAAGAATGCCTTAGGACCTAATTCCTTTGACAACTTAAATGCTATTGTTCAAACTCTAAGACCCATATGGGACTAAAACCTTTAAACACATGGAAAACCTAATGTCTTTTTAATCTACTAAAGAAACTCCTTATAATCAAGACTTGAAATCATGATCTTTCTATTTAAAACCATGATTCTCCCTATGTTAATATCTGTATGAAATTTAATATAGTCACAGCTAGCTTTTGATTTTACAAGATTAGGGCTAATTTAAAAGGATCTAAAATAATGCTAATTTTTTTTTTTTTTTTTAATTCTCACCCAAGGATATTTTTTTCCATTGCTTTTTCAGAGAAAGTGGAAGGGGGGGGGAGAGAGAGAAACATGGTGTGAGAGAGACACATCGATGGGTTGCCTCCCACACGTTCCTCACCAGAAGCAGGGATCGAGTGGGCAACAGAGGTACATGCCCTTGGCCAGAATCAAACCCGGGACCCTTCAGTCTGTAGGCCGATGCTCTAACCACTGAACAAACTGGCCAGGGAAATAATGCTAATTTTTTAAAAAGTAATGCATGTCTAGGGTAAGCAAGCTAACAGGCACAAGTTTTAATAGTAAAGACCCACTTTTCACGGATGAGGCTTTCTCTGACCTTAACAAACACAAAGAGTTCCATGTTTCTTTTAGGGACATCAGGAAGCTTCACGATTCTGGGCCTGCCTGGGAGAGAACCGGAGGGAGACTCCTGAACCTTTCCACTGCTAAGGCAAGGGCCCGAGTGCGAGCGTTTCCCCACGGTCTGTGCGGGAGCAGAAACGGCAGTTGGACACCGCGGCGCGGCGGGGTGGCGAGGGCGGCGGAGGAGATAGTTACCCAGGGTTCCTTGGCTCACTCTCTCGGGAACTTCCTCCCTTCAGCTTCCTAACCAGCTTCTCACTGCTGCGTCTAATTGAGGCCCGGAGTTTGCTAAAGGAACCACTGCGTTTTAAAGATCCAGTGCCATCCTGAAAGAAACGTGAACACATGTGAAGGGCAGGTGGTCCTCCCTCCCCACCCCCAGAGGCAAAGCTGAGTGGCAGAACCACAGGCCGCTGACCCGCTCATCTGGGTCACGCGCACCCGGCGGAAATCACCGTTCGCCGTGTGTGTAAAGTATACCTTAAACAGATACCTATCCATTTTAAATTTCATTAAAACATAATCAAAAGATCATGAAAACCTCTGAACATGAAGAAGTTCAAACAAAAATAACATTCCCACAGGAATTTAATTATACTGCTGTTTTGAAACAAAAGATAACACACATACAGTCTCAAGAAAATTACGACGGCTTCTAGGGCCATCACCGAAATCAAATTCCATGTTTAATAAACATGGGACCTGAAGCACTGAGGTCCGACAGATGGCGTCCTTTTAACAATGTCGTCAGTGTAACACTTTGATGTACTGTTTGTTCAGTAAATTTTAACAGTTGTATTCAGTGTTGGACAATTAAATAAAATACTCATTCTATACCAATAACTAAACCCCAGACCCCTGTGGAAAGCAGGAAGGATGCCTGGCTTTTGTGCTCATCGACTGAGACACTGTCAAGGACTCGGGCAGATGGGATCGAACCCGATGGGAAGGCGTGCACAGACTTTCATTCCCGGAATGAACCGCAGGAGCCCGGCAGCCGTTCCCTCTGGAAGCCACAAAGGCTGCATCCCATGGGAAGAGGGGCACGCTCTGAGCAGACAGACACGAGACGCAGGTCAGTTGGAGTGAGTTTATTAGAAGTTAGAAAGACACAGGTACACAAATCAGTCAACACGGAGATTAGTAGAGAAAAGCAGAATTGCCCAATTTCCACACAGACTACACAGCAGATGCTACTTGAGCGGGATCCTGGGGGAGCCGGGGCCCAGCAAGGTGGCACCAGTCTCTGAGGACAACAGGAGCACATGCCCTACGCTTACAGCTAGCGAGTGTCGGCGTCACCGTCATGCCATTGCAGGAACACCTGTGGGACACGTCTAACTACCTTTCATCAAAGCGAACAGCTAATCGCTCTTAACTTTTAAGCTCATATGTTACACAGTACGTGGTTTATTGATACAGTTTATATCACTAAGTACATATCTGGCAAAGCTACGTGTATACAGAGATAGGGAACCCCCCAAGGACAGCAGCACCGAGAGGAATGGCCAGTCACAGAGGTGGAGCTCTGACAAGAATCCTAGGGGTCGCTACACAGCAGTCGCACGGAGAGAGGAGAGAGCCGGAGGTGCCGTCATGCAGGAGACAGTGAGAGTCCCACCAGGCAGCTAGGCCTGTCAGACAGAAAGGAGAGAGAGCCCCGTGAAACTCGGGAGGAGGGAGCCGCTTCCCCGTACCGCAGCTCGGCTCACAGTATTTCCAGGCCAGACGCTCACGCACAATCACCTCAGCATTTCGGATTACCTTCCGCCTGCTTCTGTCGGCCCCACATCAACAGCCGCTGGGCCAGATGTTGCCTCGTGCGTGGCCTCGTCTAGATGAAAGCCCACGTCTTTAGAGCGTGACTAGCGCTGCGCTAGACGCTCCCTGACGCTTCCTAACAAAGGCCTCCATGTAACGGTCAGGAAGGAGATTCCACAACGGAACTGGACGTGACCACGCAGGCCACGCTCGAGAGCGCTCACCCCTCAGCTTAACTCTGCCAGGAATACTTTTATAGCCCTAAACTGTAAATTGTTCTTTGAAGGCAGGGAGGATGTTCTCTTTTTTAAAAAACATGAACATGTCAGACACTGCAGAACCTTTAAGTCTAGGGCACACTCTGAACACGTGCTGACAACCCAGAGTCAAGTCGGTTACAGAAACGACTCCTGGCGCATGCAGACCCGACAGTCTTGCACCGAAGCCCCAGACGCAGGGACCTGAGCCCCTGCTGTCTAACTCACCATGGGACACTGAGCAAGTCACTTAACCAGGCCGAGCTTCATTTTTCTCATCTTTAAAATGGAAAAATAAAACTTGTTACCAACTCCCGTGAACGTTGGGAGGACAAGAAAACACCAGTTCTCGCTTCTCTTCAGACAAGAGGGTGTTAAAGTGTTAATGTAGCTCGGCAAACAGCACCCCTGCCGCTGGCCTGGCAGCTCAGGGCTAGACTCTGGCAGCGTGATCTCACTCACCGCACTCACCCCTCCTCCCGCCCATCCTGGCCGCAGGCTGGCAGGGGGCTCGGGGCAGCACGGGGTTCCTTGGGGGTTCCTTGGGGCTGGCGCACCGGCCTGCCCCCCCCCGCTTAGGCCCCGTGAGAACCAGTTGGAAGGACAGCCCTGAGCCAGAAGCTTCGTATTCCAATGGGCTTCAGGGCTGGGCGGTTCATCGCACCTGCCGCTGGCACAGCCACTGCCCCTTCACACGGCCCTGAGGGCACCTCTGGCAGCAGCGAGCTTCTAGCAGAAAGGAGCGGTCTCCACACTGGCTAAGAACATTCAGCAGGAATTATGCCTGGGATGTCAGGTGATTTAGGGCTTACATTTTTTTTATATAGTCTAGTTGTTTTCCTAATGTAATTTTTTAAAATAAAAATTAACATTTCTTTTTAAAAATATATTTATTGACTTTAGAGAGAGCTGGAGGGGAGGGAGCAACAATGATTTGTGTTCCACTTGCTCACACATTTCACTCACTGGTTGCTTCTTGAATGTGCCCTGACTGGGACTCAAACCCTCAACCTTGGCATATTGGGAAGATGTTCTAAACAACTGAGCTACCCAGCCAGTGCTAATCTACTTCCAATTCAAAGGACATCCAACTGCCCAGTGACCCTGGGTAAAAGTTAATGTATTTAAAGCTTTTATAATGGGGAGAGAATGGGGAAGGCTGATCCTGAAGGACCCAGTAGAGAACTGGCCCCGAAAACAGAAAGGACGGTGCAGATAGAAGGCTACTGGTGGGGCCTCCGGCCACCTTGAGCTGGGACGTGTGGCAATTCTTGCTGGCTAGGGGCTCCCACGTGCTTGCTGACACATGCGGGCCTATGAGCTGACCCACAGCCAGCAGACAAGACTAAAGGGAATCCACTTTTACCCCAAAGGATTCCTTTGCCCCCAACACCTGCGTTTTTAGCAGCAGGACCATAAAAGAGAACAAATGGAGGTATCCCAACAGTGACCGTCGGCTCTGCACCTGCACAGGAGCGCAGGTAAGGAAGCTACGTCCTCACAGCTGGTACGGTGCCTGCCGTGCTTCCCTCAACACACCCTCTCCTGCGCCAAGGATTGACCAGCACCTCGCTGTGAGCTACTGGTGAGGGCCAGTCCCTTCCTTTCCTTGCACTTTAACAGCATGGACTTTAAGTCTGTGCTGACACGGCCTTCCAGTCCCCACAGGCAGCGAGGATCCTTACCTCTGACCACACTGCCTCTGCTCTAAAGCTCTCTGAGCGCTGAGAAAAGTCCCGCCTGTCTGGGGAAATGGCTTTGATGACTGAAGAAGCTGTGGCCGCTCCTGGACCCTCCCTGAAAGAGCTGTACCTGCCCACAGAGCACACACCTCTCCCTGTGGGGGTGGCTTTCAGACTTTTAAAGAGCACAGAAATTTTTTAAAAAGTAAAATCTAATGCAGAACCCCGATGTAAAATAAAACCTACGTGGCATTTTCTCACTAGGAATGTGTGACAAGCCCTCAGGACCACTGAGCAAAGCCGCAAGCACAAGGCCACGATCTTTAGAGCCACAGTGGGGCTGTGCAGTAGTGACGGTCTCGTCCTAACATCCACCTGGCCTCCCAGTTTCAGTCTGCATTTCTTGGCTGCACATACCCAGGAAACTCTGGTGCGCACGGTAGGTGGGAGCGGTTTTTAACCGTGTGCTGAGCAATCAGCCCCAGCAGAGACAGCATGAGCCGCCCTTCTCACCGAGAGAAGACAAAGTTTGGCTGCAGTGTGTTAATGTCCCATCAAACGTGACCCTTAGAAGGGGCTCCTTTGGCTGCATGCAATTACACCTCAGTACAGCTGATTTCAAAACATCTAAGTGTGCCCACTGCCTTTACTGCCTCTCCTTAAATAATAAAAATATGCTTTGAAAATAAAATTTGTCAAATTTTGGGAGAGCTCAGCATTAACTTCTCAGAACCTTAGAGCTTCAAGGAAACCTGGCTGAGCTGAGGTCTCCCGTGAGGTGACAGCGGTGGCCTCGGTGGCTGGCAGTAAGAACCTGGCCCTCTACCGCCCCGTCCGGGTGAATCCGCAGCGATCCTCTACTTATGCACTGTTTCCCCTAAATTTCCATTCAAGGAAAGGGCTCCTTCCGCTGTTCACAGTGAGTCAGGAACCACTGACCAGGCATTCTGAGCGCCAGGCTCCTCCAGTCCACCAACCCCGGGCCGATTGAGATGCACGCCGGGGAGGGACTGTGTCAGAGACGCAAAGCCACCAGCGTCTACACGTCCAGGACGAAGGTGTCTGGAGCCCAGTGTTCACTTAGTGCCTTAAGGGACAGCATGGGCAGAGTAAGGAAGGAAATGTGAAATGAAGGGGACATGCATCCAGAGAAGTGCCCTGTGTATCCACTCGTCAGCAACACCCGCCACGCGGCCTCCACGAGTAAAAGCAGCTCCCTCACACAAGTGAGTCTTAGTCTTGAAGACGGTTGTCGGTAGTTGTATTATCACATGACTTCATAGACAGACTGACTCAGACATGCTGTCTCAAAAGAAGTTCCCACCAAACTTCACTCAAGAGCAGCAGCATCTGCGCCAGGTGGCTGAGGACCAGCCCAGGGCTGCCTCTTGTGCAGCACCGGGCGAGAGCACCAGGAGAGTACAGTGCGGCCCACAGGAGGCCTGGTGAGCAGAGCGGGGACCGCTGCCCGAAGGCGTGAGTGGTCACAACAGATGCTGGTTGGTGGTCTTGGCACAGAAAAAAAACAAAGCAAGGAAGCTGCTGGACAGACAGCCCAGAAGCCGTTCTCCCTGACATTTTGGCCACTAACGTTCTACACAAAATGTCTCCTCAGAAGGCTAATCTTACCAAACTGCTACAGCTATAGACAACCCCAAAGGATAAACAGATTAAAAATATAGATAAGAAAGCCCAAAACTATGTGGCAAGACATCTGCAGTTACAAGTAACAGTGCACGGCTGACTGCAGCTTCCAAAAATTGGTAGTGCACCTGGATGCACAGAAGCTCTCCCTGCGGTAGATCCTTCCTGATAAAAAGCAAACTCCAAAGCTGCCAGCTCACTGAACAAAAAACTACCCACATGACACGCATATTCACTAGAAAGAAAATGTCCATAAGGCCACGTGCCCTTCGGCAACCACTGAGTAAACAGCGGTGGTAAGAATTTCCATGGAAGCCAAGTGGTGAAGCCCAGAGGCAGAGCCCAGCCAGGAGCTGACGTGTCTCATATACAGGTACATGATCTGGATCCGAAAGTAGTTGTGAAAAGCAATGAACCCCGGGCCCCTCTGTGGAAACAGGACACTCAGTCAGGACTGAGGTGGGACACGGAGCCGGCCACCAAGGTCCTGCTCCTGACCTGCTCCTTTCTGGACAAGTGCTGTCTGAACATCAGCCCCTCTGAGACACTCAAATGCTAAAAGAATCTACAGTGGCCTGGTCAGTGAAATTAGGAACAGGAGTTAGCAATGAAAGATAAATTAAGAAGCGAGTTAGTTGCACACTGTCCTATGATTAAAATAAACCCAGGTTACAGATTATGCTGTAAACAACCAGGACACTCATCAGCAATTAGGAGCTGGGAGTGAAGCCAAGCGGTTTTCACGAGCATGGAGCCCGCAGAAGAAAGCACCCACTTCAGACAACAGGCTGCAGCGTCAGCGGAGAGGGCTCACAACGGCTGAATGGTACTGAACTGGAGAAGGCAGAAGGTCTACAGAAGACAGGGCGGCTGGAGGGCAGCCCCAGGGTGACGGGCACCGTGCCACGCTGTGCACTGTACTTACCCCGCTCCACTCTACGCCCATACTCACTTCCTCCCCTCCGTCAGGGCCACTCTCGTACTTGACCGTGTCCACGGTCAGGCTCTCCCGGCTGCGGCGCTTCTCCGAGCTCTCAGGGTCGCTCAGCACTTCAGCCACTCTCTGTTTGTGAACATTGTCAAGACCCTGCGAGTCAGGCAGGGGAGGGTTTCACCCGTTAGCACTAAGTTTACTAGGGAATTCCAAGACAGCTAAAAGTCACTAGAGAAAGACAGGAGCTCTTAAACACTGGGGGGAAATGACAACAGTGCCCTCTGGAATGTACTGAGATGAGTGCTCTCACTCTGCATCAGTTCACCTCAAGTTTAAGAAATGAGACTGATTCCCGTGAGCGGCATGCTCGCTCAAGCGTCCAGCAGAGGCAGGGGAGGGGGGCTTCTGATGCATGAGAACTGAAAATGCTTCAGAACCAGGCCCGATGGTGGGGCAGGTGGAGACACACCCAGTACAACGAAGTGATCGTGATGGGATCCAGGGGACAGTCCACTGGGTAAGTTCCCTCAAGGTTTGTGTGTCTGGAAAGTCTCATGGTGAGATCTTGAGGAAATGCCCACTTTCTAACACTTCAATCCTAATTCCTGGTGTTCCATGCCTCCCAGGTAAGTACCTGGTGGAAACCCATGAATCACTTTATTCTCAGTGTGATGTTCGAGAAACCAGCCTCTAACTACAAAAGGCTGTCAGAGCACAGGCTCACACGTCTGGGAGCTCTGAGCAGCAGCAGGCACTCATCTGACTTCTTCAGACCACTGCTCACATGTCTGTGTTAACATGACTGGATTAAAACACAGCAGTGAGCCCAGCCGGACGTGGCTCAGTGGGTGAGCATCGACCTAGGATCCAGGAGACTGCGGTGCAATTCCAGGTCAGGGCGCATGCCCGGGTTGCGGGCTCGATTCCCAGTTGGGGGTGTGTGGGAGGCAGCCGATCAATGGCGACTCTTATCATTGGTGTTTCTCTCTCTCCCCCCCCTTCTAAAATCAGTGAAGATATATTTAAAAACAAAATGCAGCAGTGATCTCCCCTACACTCCAGTACACCTGACAACCAGAGTGTGACACACTTCACGTTCCACATGGGGCTTCAACCTGAGCAGCTCCTGGGAGGGCTGCACCTGCGCCGACCTGCACGTCCCCCTCCGGAGCACGAGCCCCGCCCATGTGTTACTATACATGCTCCTTACTCTGAAAACTGTAATTTAAAGGCAAGAATTAAGCCTTTTCCTGGTACTTTCTTTACAAGTTGTGCTTTGGCAAAATTAAACTCTCAGTTGACGAAGGACAGTGCTTCAGTAACTCGCAGCTCTTTATTGCAAGATGTCCCTTGTGTGGACACACCATTTGTGGGTGATTTCTGCATCTGAACGACTGCGAACATTACCACCATGAACGTACGTGTGCGAGTGCAGCCGACCATCATTATTCAGAGATCGGACTTCTGAACTCACCTACCTGCCAAAATGTATTTGTAATTCCCAAATCAGCACTCCCAGCTTTCAGTCATTCGTCACCGATGCGCACGCCCCACCAGCTCCAAGGTGACACTCCACTTCCTGTTGTCACCACACTATAAACAAGTGTCCTCCCCCCATCAAAACTCTTCAGCCCATGGTCTCGCATTTTTGCCCGTTTTGTTCGAGATCTCGCGGTCTGAAACAGCCCAAGCACAGTGCTGAGGTGCAGCCCAGTGTCCCTAACCGCACGAAGGCTGGATATGCCTCACACACAGGTGGGCAAACACGTGTCAGGCAGGCTTCCTCCAGGTTGAGCTACAGTGCTAACGGCCATGGATTTGGTGTTAACGAATCAACAACATTCTGAGTAAGGGGTCTCTGAACAGAAATGCACACAGAACAGGTTACAGATGGTCAGCTGCTGACGGAGACGAGGCTCGCAGGAACCCAACGCTGCATTTCCCCGAGGATCTGCTGCTGCACGTTCACAGCGACACCACAGAGCGGAGCTGCCCGGAAACAAAGATCAGCTGTGCCTGTCCCGAGCACCTGCGCTCAGTCCTCCGGGTGTGCTTAGGAGTGGACGGCTGGCTTACGCGGGACTGTTTCTGCGGGGAACCGCCAGACTGTTTCCACAGCGGCCACGCCGTCACAGCCCCAGCAGCAGCACACGAGGGTTCCATGTTTTCTTTCTGTTTGCTTTTATCACAGCCATCCTGGCGGGTGTGGCGAGTCCTCTCGTGGTTTTGAACTGCATTCCCCTAGTTAGACTGGAGATGCTGGGCCTCCCCAGGAGCGTGTTGGGATTTGTGCATCAACTTCAGAGAAACATCCCTTCATATCCTTGGCTCCTTTCCACAAGCAGCCCTTCTGTCTTCCTACATTCCCGACACCAGACCCTCATCAGACACGTGATGTGCACACATTCTCGCCCGTCCTATGGTGTCTCTTCACTCTCTCGGCAGCGTCCTTGAACGCGTGCACATTTCTAATGTTGGTGCTTGTGTTTTTGATGTCACATTTACAATATTTAAACAACATAATCTTATTTGTACAAACTAAAGTGTTAAGTATTTTCTATTTCTAAGTCAAGGTTTCAATAAGTCACGTAAGAGAATCACTAATGGACATGTTAGAAACAGGTGTTTGACTGACCTGTTTACGTGACCTCATGGCCGCTTCTTCCAGTGTTTCTGCAGCTTCGAATTTGCCTTGACGTCTATAAAGTGCCCCAAGGTTTTTTAAAGTCGTGGTGACCGTTGGACTATAAGAAAGCACATGTATACAGGCTATGAAACATGCTTCAGAGCCACCACTATCAACAGCACACAACCTGAAGACTAGGAGTTTGTTTGCTTAAAAATATCTTTTAAACTTCTATGGTACTTTTTCCCACATGACGTTCTAGGAAGCTCCTCAATCTCCAGCACCCCACCTCCCAGAGCTGTCAGGCAGCTGCGGTCAACCCTCTGCAGCTGGCAGGACCTGCCCTGTGCTCTTTCCAGGCTGCAGCAGGCAGCTTGGACCTCGGCCACTGTGTCAACAGGAAAGTCTGTGTGGGGCTGTCTGGTGACCGCCATGCTGCCCCCGGAGAGCCTGTTCTGCATCAGGCAGTAGAGAGGACGCAGAGGGGGCACAAAGCGAACCTAACCCTCATCACCAACGAGATGATGCTGTGCACGCGGCAGGACAGCCAGCACAGGGGCCATGGGCTTTGGCACTCGTGACCAGCAGCCTTACTCAGAACGAGCAATACGCTGGTCATGTTGGTAAGGACACATACTTCAGGAGACTCTCCTCTTCCTAATGACAGGCACCTGGGCAAAGAAGAGGCTCCCTCCGTGTCTGAGACAGTCACACAGGGTGGGAGAAACAAACATTACCTCCGACGTATCTGTCAGCGCCATGGGGAACCCAGACTACGCGTCAGAGCGTTCTTCTGAACTAGGTGACTGGTGAACTGAGACTTACAGGACGAATTAGCGTCCAGATGGGAAAGAGCAGGAAAGATGTTCCAGTCGGGAGGAAACAGGTCAGTGGGGCCTGGTGTGGGAGGCACAGGCACCAGCTCACAGGACCGCTCATGGGGCTCTCACACTGCCCTCTGCAGACACGGAGGGTGAGGGCAGCGAGGAAAGGGGACTACAGCTTAGGGTCTCCCCAAGGAGTCCCTACACGTGTTGGTAAAATGCTGGCTTTTGCAGACCTGCTGTCCTGTTTGCTGTGGGGACACTTTAACCATGTCCCTATGGGCACCTCCTTGTCCTGAGATCAGTGTTTGGTATTTGGCCTGGACAAGACAGTTGGAGTGCACAGAACCCATATGCGGTGACTTCTGCATATGTCAATAACTCCATTTACAAAGTCATGGTTTTTTATTGGAATGTGGCGAAACTGGACGGTGCAACCACACCTCCATGAGGAGCTCTGCACACCCCATGGTCAGCTGCTAGCTGCCCTTTAAGGTACCAGCAGCACCACCCACAGCTGTGCTGTTTTTTAGGGAAACAGACATACCTGTCAACTTTGCAGGCTTTGTACCAGCCACCATACTCTCCAAAAGATGGACCATCCTTCTGCTTTCCCTAAATGATAACAAATAATCGCACATAAGTCACTCAGGAAAGCACCCTGCCAGTCAGGAGGCCCCCGGGCAGAGCACTCGTACCTTACACTCTTCCCTTTCCTCCGCGTGCATCCAGATGGGTTTATTTTCATCTGGGGAAGGAAAAACAACCCACTGTGAGCTGAAGTGTGACAGAGCCTGTGAGAAGGTGTCACGTTCCAGGACTGCAAGGTTTCTGCTGTTGTTCTATGATCCTTCTTAGATGTGGCCTCTCACACTTGGGTGCAAGGACAGGAGCACCCACCACAACACACACGCAAGAGGTGGCCGGCACGTGCCAACGTACCAGACCCAATAGGCAAATGTCAACAAACCGGACACACATGAAGGTCCCCATCATGAAACTTCTTAATGCTCAAATCTGCACACAACACTTGGGACTTTTAAAATTTGAGCAACCTAGCCTTAAAAGTCTAACAAAATGTTGTAAAATGTTGGGAGCAAGAGTAGAAAAGATACAAACCAACCTTCCTTTAAAGTCCTCTTAACTTTTGAGAATGCTCAGGCGTACTACCCACCGAAGCTCCTAGACAGCTAATGTACCCACAGCATGAAGGACGACCATCCCTGATGTGGAGTTTATGCAAATATGTTACGACAGGAAAACGCCCAAGCTGCAACGTGAAGGAAAACCCGCAGTGCACATGATTACATGCACAGTACAGCTTCAATTCCATAAATCATCAGGCACAGAAAGAAGACACTAAGCACCCCCAGAGATGTACCTGGATGATGAAATTATAGTGAGTTCACATTCCCATCTCCGCGTGGATTTTCGAGGTTCCCGCAACAAGCACCTACATGGGGCTCTGGGGGAAGACCACACTTCCACCCAGTCCAACCACCCACCAACGACCAGACTTTGTTAAGTCACTTAGCATGGGTGTCCCTGCCCCTACAATGGGGTGATGTCTGACCCAGTTCGCAGACTGCTAGGAAAATTAAATAAGATCACACATTTAAATGGCTTAACTGACAGACTGGAACGTGGTTAACTATTGTGACTGTAAGGAAAGGCCTTAGCTCCTGGAGAGTCAGAACCCAGCAGGCTTGGATGATGGAGAATGTGCATTTCTGACAGGTCACTACCAGCACAGGGAGAGCCACTGGGCGACAGAACACTCCAGGAAGCACTAACGACTCCAGGGACGTTTCCAGAGGTGGGGCACCCAGGTCGTGCTGGAAACAAGCATGGGCTCTGGCGAGGACAGAATTGGGAGGCACGGGCACAGGCACATGTCCACCACGTTCACTGGATGGTGAGCGATGAGCCGTGAGCACGCGGCCGTGCCCCGTCCTCTCCTCTAAGCGCTGTTCAGAAAATCATTTATAAACCTCCAATCAGCTGCATCCTGAAATCGCTGTGACGATGCGGGTGCTACCAGTCTAAAGCTGGAATCACGACTGCAAGGCAGCCTACAACAGTACCTGCTTAGAAACAGGAGCATGTCTTACCATCCACAGAACCAAACTCCCTCTCGTGCGCACGTGTGAGGATCTCTTTGTACAGCGCTTCTGCCTGCTTGAACTTTCCTTGCTTCAGGTAGCAGGAGGCCTTGGAATAGAATAAAGCTCTTAGTGTCCTTCACAGGCAGACGAAGCATGCATTCCTGACAGGCTAACAGTGAACACTCCAGACCTCCAGAGAAAGCATCCCCGGCACCACCTGGGGAGTTTACCTCTGCCAACGTACCAGGTTGTTTTTCGTCTTGGCCACATTGGGGTCATCGGGCCCCAGTTTTGTCTGGTAGATCTCGAGGGCTCTCTGGTAGTAATATTCCACTTCCTCGTACTTGCCCTGGTTCTGGCACAGTAAGGCCAAGTTATTTAACTGCTTGGCCACGTCGGGGTGGTCCTTTCCCAAAACCTGAGAACAAAACGTGGTGTTAGGAACACCTATTCCTCATCTCACTACCATCTAATCCATTCTTCCATACGTGACGGGTCTTTCTAAATATAAACATGAAGATGCCTCACTTTAGGCTTACGATCCTTAAATAACTCTCCTTACCCTATAATAATAAAAATAACTTAACCAGGCCCTGGCCAGTGTGGCTCAATTGGTTGGGCATCAGCCCGTGCACCAAAAGGTGGTGGGTTCAATTCCCAGTCAGGTCACATGCCCAGGAGGCAGCCAATCAATGTTTTGCTTTCATATTGATGTTTCTCTCTCTCTCCCTCCTTCTCTTTCTAAAAATCAAAAATATTTTTTAAATAAGTAAAATAAAAATAACATAACCAGAGTTTATTCTGGGGGTGGGGGTGCTGATTTCCTTCACCTGCTTTAACGTCTTCAATTCTCACAATAACCCCACATGGTGGGAACATTACCATGCACACTTTGAGGAGGAAACTGCTTTTATAAAGGCAATGCTAGCACACCTGCCAAGTTATGGAAGAGCTCAAACGTAACCAGCACTGTCTGACTTGTTCCTACGCATCCAGTCCTCAAAGGAATTCCCAATCTTCCCCTCAGCCGACACGTGCCTCCACGTGCAGACCCAGGGGTCCTCTGCAGTCACCCAGACCACCTCTCTTCACATTTCACACCCCACCTGCAGGGCCCTTCCACTGCTGTCCCAGATGCCCACACTCCCCCTACTCAACTACCTACTCTTCAGGTCACGCTTCAGGCCCCTCAGAGGGGACTTCCTCTATCCAATTTAGGGAGACCTCAGCCCAGCCCACCAGTTAGCTCAGAAGCGTATCACCCGGTTTCTCCCTCTGCAAACATCACTACCTGGAATGACCTCACTTGCACCGTTACTACCGCACCCTCGCTCACTGACACTAAGCCAAGAGCGCAAGCCCTGTCCTCTTCCCAGCGCGCCCTGCTGGGTGAGTGGCGCTAAACTTCTTCCTGATACCTTGATCAAGCGATTTGGTTTCTCACCCCTGCCTTCACCCAGGTGTCCGTCCCCCAGGAGGCATGAGGCCTCCCCATCCGTTCCCGCGGTCCCTCCCTCTCCCTGCCTGGGACACTGAGCTCAGTTACTGAAGGCTTGGTTCAAGCACTAACGCTTATGAGAAGCCATCCCCAATGCCCCCAAGCCCAGACACAGAGGAGCCCCTGCTCTCGACTCTCCCAGCTCTATCCCAGAAGCCAGAGCACCTGTGTCCCCAAGTTCTGTCTAGCGGACTGTGATCCAGGGAAGGGGCTGTATCTCTGATTTGTTAAGTCACCAAGTCCAACCAAGCAGGGGCCCCCAAGCCCTCAAAAAACATTTCCCAAGTGAGTGACTGAAAGAGCAAATACATGCGAGTGGATCAGGCAGACCATCACACGAGCTTGTAATGCTTTATTCCATACTTTTGTGTTCTGATTTTAACCCCTGTCCCAGAAAACCAGGCCCTTTTATTTGATAAATATGCAGGTGGTGGCATAACATTCTTCCTGCATGACGTGATAATGAGTCACTTTTCATTTCCCCTTTCCCAATTCCTTGCCATATGGCTCAAAATTAAACGATTAACCTCTCAGTATCACTGGTAAATAATCACATAAAATACCAAGTTAAAATATGACCCTTGGTCATCCATGGCTCAGACTGACACCTGTGTCCCTGTAATACCTGAACATAGTCACACCGAGTGCTGCTGAAAGTGACAAGGTGATCCTTTTCAATACCTAATTAACATAAACTAGCAGCTAGTACATAAAATGTCCACAGCATTGGCTTAATCTACAGCTGAGTCCACCTTTAGGTCTAAATGAATTATTTTATTTTTTAAAGCTTTAGAAGCATATTTGGTGACTTTACTTTCTTACTTTCTTACTGGTAGGTGAACCTCCAGTCCTGAGAAAGCCCTCCCTGAGCAGTCATTTCTGGGCACTGCAGGCCAGGAAGGCGCGGATGCAGTCCACGCCCTGAGCACCCGCCCGCATACCCGATCGCATGGGCCAGCCTGCTGTCCCTGTGGACTGTCCACCTGGTAGACTGAGTTACCTTCAGTAAATGGTCAGTGATGACCTATCACAATGGTCCTCTCTCAAAAGGTAAAACTAGTGTCTAAAAACACTAAACCCACACTTGAAACCTATATGACCCTATTAACCAAGGTCACCCCAATAAAGTTAATTTAAAACAAAATAAATAAAAGCATCAAGCAGTGCCTGCCTCTGACCGCAAGCTCGCCACCCCACCTTTTCTCGGATCTCCAGAGCTCTTTTACACAGCGGTTCCGCCTCCTTGTACTTCCCCCTCTTGCCATAAAGCACTGCGAGGTTGTTCAGAGTTGCTGCCACCTGCAACACAAGGACCACGGAGAGTGAGCACGAGAGTGGCAAGCTCTGGGCTAGTCAGGCACGGTGAGTTCATCAAAAGCAAGAGAGCAATTCACCAGAACACAGATCTCACAGAGCAACACCGCAGGGCTAGAATTATACAATCAATATCAGCAGGAGCTTGATTTTTTAAATAAATCTCACTGGGAACCACACAGTCAACCAACACTGGCCTGTGTGCAAATCTGAGCAGACTTTAATGAAGGACAAGTAAAATCTGTAGAAGAAAATTTACACAAGTACATGCAATTCGATTCAGGATCAAGAACTACAGAGCGTGCTCCATTTGGTGGGGAGACAAGAGAGTGCACCTGGCATTGCTCGTGCTGTCCCCAGCAGGGAGCTGGCCACTGGGAGGAAGCAGTGAGGACCCTACCTGAGCCATCTAGTGGAAAGGCAGCTCTTAAACCTTCCCTGTTGGGTTTAATAGTAAAATGAGTTGGGTAAAAAAACATACTAGGGAAAATAAAGAATATAAAAAGAATCAGATATACACACCGCAGGATGGTCTTTGCCCAGAGTTTTCTCACGTATGGCCAGGGCATCATTCAGGAGATTGGCTGCATCTTTGTACTTATTCTGGTCTCTACAATGAAGCACATTGGAGTATTTTGTGTCTGCCAGGCACACCAGGTGTCACATCCCCTACACCTTCCCTGGCCCTCTGAGCGGGTATTATCACTGCCTCCATTTACGATATGAGGCAACTGAGGCTCCGGAAAGCCAAGGCTCTAGACAATATCCTCTGTCCCGTGGCCATTTAGCAGAGACAGACACTGAATTCCCCTTGAGAACAGGATTATATATTCAGCCTTAGGACCTCATGGGAACCAGACAAATCTTATAAAACTTGGGTCTCAAATAATGTTTGTTGAACTGGAATCACCAAACCAATGAAAGAAAATAAAGCAGGTGAACTGACACCCCCCCACAACTGGAACAGCCACAGCAAACCCATCCTGCTGTCAGCAACTTCCCCCTCCTCAGGTCCCCATTCACCTGATCTGCTCTGTTAAAGGTTAGTTCAGACAAAAAACATGAGCAGACAAAGGGCTCCAATGCCACAGAGCAAGGGCTCATACATTAGAGAACAGGCTGGAGTGATTCCTGAAGACAGCCTGGTCCTCAACCTCAAGGAATCGCTACTTGGGCAAAGAGAGAACAGAGTTCCAATAACCCTGATGCACAAGTGCCCTGAGAGGCAGGGCAGAGGGTCAGGGCACAGCGGGGGCAAGTGGAATCCTGGACTCAGAAAGGAAAGGGGAAAACTAAGCCCGAGGAAGGTAGAGAGGACACTGCAGGCAGAGTGGGAAGGCTATTCTGGAAGAAACCTGGGCAGTTTGTGGGGAAAATCAAGAGTTGGATGGCCTGAGTGCAGGACATGGGTGATTCTGAAAGGCGGGACTGGCTGTCCCACCCTTGCCACAGAGCTTGCTGCATATTTTCAACTTAACCCCTGGCTCTTTGAGAAAAGTAGCTTGTACAGGTTTATAAAAATGTATTTTAAAAGCAAGTTCATTAAAATTATGGTCTCTAGGTGAAAGTCAGAGAACAGAATGAAAACTACTAGCCTGTAGACCAAGGCCAGGATGTTGAGCATGGTGGCCACGTCCGGGTGGTCATGGCCGGAAGTCTTCTCCAGGTCCTCCAGGGCCTGCTTGCACAGGGGCACAGCCACCTCATAGCGCCCCTGCGAGGCATACTGGATGACCAGGTTGTGCAGGGTGCGCAGGCGGGCTGGGATCTCATATCCACCCTGCTGGGCGGCCGCCGCGGCGCTGCTGTGCTGCTGCTGGACTACAGAGACAGTTCCATGTCAGAGGTCCACAGAAATTACCAAGGGGCACGATTTAAACTCTCCTCTAGCTTTCTCCCCATAAGCACATGGCCCCCACCCCATGGAAACCTGTCCAACACTCCCTGAGCAGACTGGTAACATCAGTAACCTATCCGGGGAACACAATCCCCCCCCCCCC